GGCCGGGGGTCCGGCGCGCGGTGACGTCACGGCCCTGCGGCCCCTCAGCCGCGCCGGCCATGGCGGGCGGGAGCCGCGCCCTCAGGGCAGCCGGGCCCGCCCTGCTCCGGGGGATTCACCCGGACTGCCCGGAGCCCCGCACCGGCACTGCCCGGTCATCATCCCGAACCCCAGCCGTGATCGCAAACACCAGTGGTGCTCGCTGCCACGTGGTGCTCCCGAAAGAAACGATGCCTCAGCACTGCTGCCTTCAAACAACGCTGCTGAATCCGAACTCGTTCAAGATCTCATTCCCAAGACACCGTGGGCCATGGAAACAGCCTCACCGCAGCTGCCAGGTGCCCCGTTGCTCCAGCCGTGGTAATGGACACCACAGCCATCCCAGGCAGACCCATGGGCTGGTTTTTGCACATTTTGTTCTCGTGTAATTTTCCAATATCCATGAAAGCAGCTCAGCTGCCCAAGGCCTCTGAGTGCCACAAAGGCCACAGAAGGGGTCTAAAACTTTGGCTCCCCCTTACAGACCCCACAGAGCAAGGCTGGCAAAATCTCTGCTGCCTTGCTCCAGCCCGCCAGCCTTCTCAGAGCTGTGTCTGCCACACGGGCAGCTGCCCATGGGCCCCATGGACGAGACACTCTCACCAGCACAGCTTCTGGGGAGCCCACTCACTGCTCCCAGCAGCCCCATGGACTAAGGGCGTGCCAGGCACTCCTCCTTGGACTCCAGCCTGTCGCTCCATGCTGGGATTCTGAGGTTGAGATGACCCCAAGGTAGTAGAAAGTCTTTTTTTTCTCCCAGCCCCGTGACAGAAGAGGAAGTCCTCGAGATTCGTCAGTTCTGCTTTTTAAGGTTGTTCATTTTTCCTTATCTGTTTCATTCTTTCTCTGACCTGGTGAGGTCTGTCTGGCAGGTTGGTTCATGGCACACTGACTGCCCTTGGCGTGGTATTAAGTTTTTATACTAAAAACTACATGTACTTTATTTACAATAATTTTCCAATACCCATCACCTATGTTGCATAGTCTGCCTTTACTCTAAACCAATCAAGAAGTGTCACCATTACAGCAGAAGATGGAGGGGAAGAAGAAGAAGGACAGGACACGCCCAGATTCCTCCATCTTGTCTTTTGAACCCCCAAAATTCTGCTTTTTCACCCTGTGACAAATGAACTATCATTCTACTCAAACTCTTGTGGCTTGCAAATCTTCACACAAATTGGTAGTTTTTCCCATGGGCTAAAATGAAGTCTTTGACTCCATGCCAAGGTCTCTGAGCCCCTTGCCAGGGTCTTGAGTCACCCAGGGCAGTCAGAGGAATGTCCTGGGTTCCGACAGCTCCGCTGCCATCACCAGCACCGACGGGGCCCTCCCAGAGGCCTGGACACCTCCCAGCTGCCTGTGTGAGGCAGCAGTGCTGTGACGTCTGGCACATGCTGTGCTCACTGCCGTGTTGCATGGGCTCCCACGGGGAAGGTTACACGTTGTCCCTGAGCAGTGTCCATACCCGAGCTGGGTCTGCATGGCCACCTTTGGGGAGCAAGGAGGGCAGTGGTGGCCTCTGTCACTGACACCAGAAGCTGTTCCTGTGTTGGGCAGAGCTGGCTCAAGGGGCCTCCAAGACAAATCCCCTGTGGCACAGCTGTGGCTGGGAGGGAGGAGCCACAAGATGTGAGAGCCACAGCCCTGCAAGCACCAAGGCCAGGGAGGGGAGGAGGTGCTCCAGGACCAGAGCAGGGATTCCCCTGCAGCCCATGGAGAACCCCACACTGGATAGGCCCTGGAGGAAGCTGCAGCCCATGGAGAACCCCACGCTGGATAGGTCCTGGAGGAAGCTGCAGCCCATGGAGAGCCCACACAGGAGCAGGATCCCAGCAGGAATTCAGCTGTGGGGAGAGCCCGTGCTGCAGCTGGGACAGCATTACAGACTGACCCCATCCTCCTTCCCATTCCCCTGCAACACTTGCAGAGAGAGGAGACAGGGTAGTCAAGCATGAGCTTGAGCTTAAGCAAAAGGGCTGAGTGGGGAGAAGGTGGTTTTAATTTTGGTTTGTGTCTCATTATCCTACTCTATTTTTAATTGGAAATCAATTTATCTTCCTCAGTTGCTGTCTTTTGCCCATGACGGTGGCTGGTGAGTGAGCTCCCTGACTCTGTCTCAAAGCTCTTTTGTGGTATTTTCTCCCCACTCTCCTGAGGAGGGGAGGGGAGGTGAGAGCGTGGCTGAGTGACCTGGCAGCCAGCCACAAGCCAACGCAATGCAGATCTGGAGTTGCTGCGCCCTCCTCCCCTCTTCCTGCTCCCTTTCAGTTGTGTAGAGGGGAGAAAAAAATAACTGCAAAACCCTCCCATCATCTTAGTAATAAAAAGTGCTTTACTTTTTTCTTGAGGTCTCAGTTTCTGAGGGCCAAAGCTCACATGTTCTGCTGTCATGCTACAGTAATTTCCTCTTGTAAGCAAGCATCCTGCTTTCTCACTTCTTGGCTTTAGTTAGCAAAGTACATGTAATGTTTCCTGTCTGATTTTCATTTTGCTGAGAGTCTTTCTCTGTCCCCTCTGGGTATCTCAGTGCTGATCCACCAGCACTGAAATGAAACTGGCTGGGTCCCACCCTTCTAGAGGAAACTGTTCTTGGAAGCAATGTGAGGAGGCAAAATCAGGCCAGACCCGTTAAGGAATGCAGCCATACAAAATTATGTCCCACCTTCTCCATTTCCTCTGTCCTACACAAGTGACACACAAATGTCACTGGTGCTTGGCCTTTTAAGGAATAATTGATCACCAGTCCATTTTTTACTTCTAAGCAGAGTCAAAAAGTGCCCTATATATAGCTATACCTAAAGAAGCTTTTTGGGGAGGGGAAGGAGTTGAAGGACATGCATCCTGTCCACAGGCCCAATACATCTGGAGAGCTTATAAAAAAAAACTAAGAGGGACCTCATTGCATTTGTGGCCTAAAACACAGCAAGGGAGGATTCTCCTGAAATAACAGGACATCTGTCTTGGATCAAAAAACTGCTGATTTTGTAACATGAGATGAACACATGACACAGCAAGAGGACAGGGATTACTAGTTTCACTCTTGGGTAGCAGGAAGAAAAAAGAAAAAAATACTACACTAGGGTGTTGTTCTGAATAGCACAGATTCCTTCATAATGAAACAAAATACATGAAAAAGGGGAAAGGAGGAAAACGTTATTTTTGGACTTGGTTGTGTGCAATAGAGGTGACCAAGTGCCTCCCCATCCCTGCCTGCTGCTGCACACCCAGGAAACCCAGTCATCTCTGCTCAAGCAACGTGGCACTAAACCCAAAATTATGCCAACAAGTACCCCTGCAATGGCAAACAAAACTCAAAGCACATGGTCAAATTCAGGCTGAAAAGGAATTATTCCTGTGTAAGAGCTCTTTATTTTTTCACTTTACGTGTTTCCTGTAGCACTTATCCTGGTGTTCATGGCTGAGATTGAAGGGACTTAAAACCTCGTCTCGTTCCACCTGCCCCTGCCATGAGCAGGTGTAGAAGGATTCTTGGCTGAACAAGGCCATGATATTCCCCTGTGGGAATTGGACAACCCTGGCCTGCAGATTACAGAGTTACTCTGGCACTGGCCCCGGAACAAGACAGACCACGTACTGGCCTCGAACAGATACAACAAGGAAGAATGAGCATTGTGCCAAGATGAAGCCAAATGCCAAGCACGTCGTGGGAACTGCTAATTTGGCATACCTTAGCTAAAGATTCTTATAGCGTGACAACCAATCAGTAATTAACATGTATGTGTGAATATAGCTACTTAACCAATGAGCATTAAGCATTAGTGGCGTGAGGCAGTGCATAGAGAAGGAGAAATATGCCCAAGCTGCTGAATGAAGTGGGACAACGTGCAGCCACAGTGGTTGTGACATTACTCGGCCGACTCTCCCTGGGACCCTTCTCAGGCAGGAGAGCCCTCCTCTAGACCAGGTTGCTCAAAGCCCCTTCCAGCCTGGTCTCAAACACTTCCAGGGTTGGGGCATCCACCCCTGGATTGACTCCCTGTTGGTAGACTCCCTGAAGCAGAGCTACAAACTTGCCTCCAAGGAACTGAAAAGTTCACAGCAAAGCCGCCTGTGACCTTGCACCAGTTTGGTCCACAACCTCAGCTGCTTGAGCCCCATATTTAAACATTAACTAGCTGAAATGTGTGTGACTAAACCCTTGCAGAGCTGTTTTTCTGTGGCTGGGACCCGTGAGGGATGACATACAAGTGAAGACAGAGAAGGTGCTTGCAGTAAAGCTGCTGCAGCCCAAGTTCCTTGTGCCTCAGCTGAGAGGCAGAATTGGGTCACAGGAGCACGTGAAGGGGAAAGTGGGCTCCCTTAAAGCAAATGTTCCACATTGCTCAGGTGTACAAACCTTCAGGATGAGGCACCACGTGAGTGCTGAGCCCCATCAGCTCTGTCCAGCCTCGTGGCTCAGATGGAGCCAGGGCAGCATGAGCCCAGGCTGCAGGCACCACAAGCGTAACCTGCCTCTGATGCGCCTTCTTCCAGTGCACTTCTGGTCTCTCAAAGACGTTTAAAAGTTTTACGAGTTTGGCATTGTGTTCATCTGACACCAGTTTTTTAAGAACTGCTACTTGGGAGATGAGTTATGTGCTTATTGCAAACTTTGATTACTGTAATCAAAGCAGTAAACTGAGTAATCTGTTTACTTGGCCTCTTTTGGCCTTAAGACACATTCTGCTTCTTTCATCTGAGATCCCAACACTGCTTACACACTTACAGTTTCTTCATGGCTTTGCATTGTGTCCCCAGTTTCAATTCCTACCACTCCTCAGACATCCAGGAAAGTCCCTCATGAGTCACAAAACAGCAACACAAGAGGGGTAATTCCTAACGGGAAAATAAAGAGAAAATCAGTTTCGATTCCGAGTTAATTGCTGTCTAACCAGAAATTTTTCTTGAGGCCGCACCTTAATACATTTGGGATGTGGCAACCTGTTATTAACATAGTGCTAATATGCAAAATATCACCTTAATGCTCCTTGAAGTGGATTCAGAACTTCCCTGTTTACTACAACTCAGCTTTTTAGAGAGTCAAAAGGTTATTAACATCCCTACAGAGAATACCAAAAAGCTGCACACGATGTTGTCCCCTCACTGGCAGGCTTACCTGCAGAAGGAGGTTCACAAAGATAAAAACCAAAAGGCAGTCAGGTTTTCACAGCTACAACCCTCATCATTCCCTTGCCTGGTAACTGATCCATGGGTAAGATTGAGGACAAACAAACAAACAAAGCTGGTGACTACAATGGGCCACCCAGCCAGGACCATGACAGTGAGGAACATGTGTTAATCCATCACCCTTGTCCTTGCCTGACTTCAATGTGTCAGGTGGTAACTGGGAACACCACACAGATTGCACAAACTAGTCCAGAAAATTCCTAAAACACTTGGATAACAACTTCATGGTACAGGTACTAAGGGAGCTGACCAGGAAAGGTGCCCTCTATGATTTGTTGCTACCAGAGAGGGTTTTGTAAGGGGAGTGGTGATTGGTGGCCATCTTGGCCACAGTGACCACAAAGCAATCAAGTTTAAAATCTCTGATGACAGGAGGAAAAGTGTCAGCAAAACTTCCACCCCGGCCAAGAGGAGAGCAGAGTTCAGGCCACTCAGGGAATTAAGTCAGTAAGGTTCCCAAGGGAAATGCTTTTGAAGGTGCTGGGGTCCCTCAGTCTGGTCATTTTTTAAGCACCATGCACTAAGGGTAAGGGAACAGGCAATTCCCACTCACCAGAAGTCAAGAGGCGAGGCAGAAGGCCAGCTTGGCCAAGCAGGGATCTCCGTCTGGAGCTAAGGCAAAAAAAAGTATGGTCAGTGTGAGCAAGCTTGGTGACGTGGGAGTGTTCTGCCAATTGGCAGGGACAATTTAAAGGACACAGACGCCAATGGAAAAAAATGGTCTTAGTTTACTATGAATATTAAGGTAACAAAAATTAAAATGATACATTCAATAAAACTACACAGCTTTAGCAACAAGCAAAAATAAGCAAGGTAAAGCACCTAATAATTGCTATATGAGAGAAAGGATAGTGATTGAGAAAGATACATCACCAATTGCCTAAATACTCCACCATCATCAAGAGTCCACAGTCACTGGACAGCAAGGACCTGGAGAACCCTTCCCAGCAATTGGGAAAATCCCACGTGATGCATCTACCCATGGCTGAGCTCTCCAAATTTGCCCCAAAAGTGGATCCAGCTTTTATAGGCTCATATCAGCAAGTCAAAGTGACTTGATGATATTTTTAGCACAGAAACTCCTGGATCTGATGGCACACTCCCTGACCAGGTGGGCCAGGGCTTGGCCAGGCCCAGGCCTTGGCTGGGAGGGTTTTCCCCTAAAATATTCTACAACAAGCCTCTATTCATGTTGGCTGGCAAAGTTTCTTAAAATGATCCATTTTTTGCAGATAACTACACAAGATTATGTGGAAGTTTCTAAAGCAGCCAGTTTGATGTTAAACAGCTGGCATAAGCATCTCAGCCATCTATTTTGAGCTAAATAATACTGATGGTGTTAGTCACATAATGCCCAGAATTCATCTTTTAAGTAAACTCTGGCTGAGGCCTGCTGCTCAGACCTAAGCACATCAGGGAGGAGCAGAGGGAGCTAGGCAATCATCAACCACATGGAGTTAAACAAGGAACACTGCCAGCTTCTGCCCCTGGGACTGGAGAACCCTGGGAGTATCACAGCAGCAGTCCTACTGGGGAATAATTTGCATTGACACCACGATTGCAGAAGGCTGATCCATTGCTTTATTCTACCATACTATACTATATTATTAACAAGCTTGTAATCCTTACAGTCTGATACTGTTTTGACCTAAATAGTCAATCAATCAAAACACCATCCACTGTCCAATTAAGAAATCACCCTTTGGTAAACAATCTCCATAACACATTCCACATGTGCACAACAACAGGTGCAGCAGGTGGAGATAAGAATTGTTTCTCATTCTTTTCTCTGAGATTTCTCACAGCTTCTCACAACTTCCCAGGAAAATGCTATGTCTCTCTGTTCAGAGGATATGTGATTACCACATGGGAGTGCAGACAGATTGAGGAACAAGAGGCTGGAGAGCAGCACCACAGAAAGAGACCTGGAAGTTTAGGCTGAGGGCAAGTGGAACAGGAGCCAGCAGTGCCCTGGCAGCCCCAAGTGCCAGCCTGTCCTGGGGGACATCGGGCCCAGCATTGCCAACGAGCAAGGGAGTGACTGTCCTGCTCTGCTCTGCACTGGGGAGGCCTCACCTCGAGTCCTGGGGGCAGTCTGGGGTGCCTCCAGGTGTGGGTATAAAGCTATTAGAGCACATACAGAGGTGAGCACATAAAGATGGTGAATGGCACAGAGGGGCCACGAGGTCCCTTGGCTTGTTCAGCCAGGAGGAGACTGAGGTCAGCCCTCATCAGGTCTGCTCCCCACGACCAGAGACAGGACCCAAGGAAACAGAGCTGTGCCAGGGGAGGGTCAGGCTGGGTAGCAGGGAAAGGTTCTTCCCCCCAGGGTGGCTGGGCATTGAACAGGCTCCCCAGAGAATGGACACGGCTTCAAGGCTGCCAGAGCTCCAGGAGCACTTGGACAACAGTCCCAGGCACAGGGTAGGGAATGAGATGATCTTGAAGATCCTCTCCAAACCAAGCCATTCTATGATGCCAATGAAGAGAACAGAGCCCCTCAAATAAGTCCCATGTAATTGTTCTTTTTTTTTTTCAGTTCAGTTACACAGAAACTGAAAATTACAGTGCTGAGAAGTTTCTCTATGGCTCTAACCTTAAATACAATTATAAAATAAGATCAAACTACTGATTTACAGTAATGAGTAAACCCTGACTTTTCTCCATTTTGGTAAAACAGACCCTACCAAATCCTCAGCATTAAAGTCAGTTACAAGAATTGGATGCTGGAATTTCTACTTTTCCAGTGAACCCAAGCCTTCAACAGCTACAAAACCTCACACATACACACCCCCTTATGTGATGGGCTTACATTCAGTGTAGATACTACACAAGAGGCCAAAGGTCTTCAGGAAAAAACAAGACATTCCATTTGTTAAATGAATTTGTGCATTTGAACAGCTTTGAGATGGCCAAACCCCAGCTGCTGATTTCAGCTAGAACTGTATTTCCTCATGGGTGAGCTGCCATGAACAGCAACCAGGGCAGGCTGCTCTGTGGCTTCCAACGTGGAGCACCACTGGCTCAAGAGAAAGGGAATTCAGGCTCACAGAACTGTATCTCAGTGCTTTACCAGAGTCCAACCTAAGTCACCACTATTTGCATTTTTAGATTATTGCCTTTGTTACTGCAAAAGCTGTCAGATACATGTCACAACCTACCCTTTAACAGAAGCTCGGACTGTTCAAAACTACTCGGCTCTTCCCGAAGCTAAATAATTAATTTCTTCTCCCTCCAGTTACTCCACAGTAAAATAACGCATAAAATTCCATATTCTTTTCAAATAAGGCACTTTGCAAGTTTGTTCTCTAAATGCCAAAAGCTTGAGGAAATTTCACTGATTTCACTAATTTCTTTATCACTCTTATGCCAATAATAAAACTGGTATTACCAGCTGAGTTACACTCAGAATTCATGCTGCTGCAAATGAGGCTTGAGAACATCCAATATGGCTTTCACAGAACACTCTTTTGCTAAAACAGCTCAGAGTAAGTTATAGTAAAGTGTGGTCTTTGGGCATGAAGATGACTGGCATTTCCTACAAAACTCTTTTTGCGTCCTGTGGAAGTCAGATGAAAGTTCAGTGTTGAAGGAACTTGACAGTTGTCTATATACAAAACCAAGAAATAAATAGCACAGCAGCTGTATCCAGCTCTGTAACTTAGAGATCCCACAGAAGAAGTTTTTTAGTGATTTGCTCTTTCACTGACAACATCCTGCAGACGTTTTAGTAGAACATCATCATTCTCCTGGCAGAGTCGCTTTGAGGGGGATTCGGTGTCACTGTCAATTGTTATTGCTCGCTTCTTACTCCTATGTTCACCTTGTTTTATCATATTGTTGATGTCCTTCAAACTCTGCAATCAAGACAAGAATAATCAGTTACTCTGACTGTTTCAAACTTGCTCTATGTCTGAAATATCAGAGAAAAAACAGGTTAAGGTTATCCTGCACGTCCGAGTGATGGAGTCCACATACAGAATTCTACCTTTGAGTGCAAAGTGAGAGACTATTCACTATAACACAGCAGAACTGCACTAGACCACATCGTATTTAGAAGGCAGTTAACCCTTTCTCAAGCACTTTTTGGCTGTACCTTGGAGGGGCTGCCGTTGAACCTGTAGAGCAGGGCGGAGCGCGGCGTGAGGCAGGCGCCGTTCTTGTGGGGCGACACGTACACGCAGTGCTGCTGCCAGACGCGCCGCGGGGACGCCGCCTGCTGCCGGAGGCTGGGGAACGGCGACAGCGCAGGCGCCTCCATCTGCAACACAGCACACGTCTGCACAGCAGCTCAATCACAACATCCCGAGAGCAGGAACCTCACACAAGAGAGGATTATTGCACTTCCAGGTCTTTAGAAAATTTTATCTTGTGACAGTGAAGCAACAGATCAAGTAATGACCAAGCGACAGAAATAATCTGCCTTACACAGACAGTCCACATGCATTTGAGCAAATGGGTATTGCATTGATGTAAAGAAGTTGGAAATGCCTTTGCAAACTGAGCAGCATCTACATTTTTCCTCTTGAAAGGTTGTTAAAGCAAGTGCTCATACCATTACCTCCAATTATCTGACTTGATCCACACCAGGTGACAAGACAAAGTTATTGACATACATTTAACTGCCTGGAAAATGACTCTGCGAGTATTAATTCCAAAATACTTTACTTACCACATGATCCTGGTTTGTGATATCGTACTTCAGTGCAAATGACTTTACTCTTCCTACGTAGACTGCGTTGTAAAATTTAATAAGGTCTCCTCTCTCCTCTGTTTGTGACCCACTCGAGTTCTCTGCTGCAGATTGTCCCAAGGAGCTGCCAGCTTTCACAGATGAGTCTAACAATAAGAGAGCTTCAGATTTCAAAACTACAGCATCGGCAAACCAGGCACATCAGAGTTAAACTTAGGATGTCCAGCTGGCAAGAACTTGTCCATAAATTGACCAGTCAATGACAGGAATTCAAGAAATGTGCTTGAACCAGGAGAAGGATGTGCTGCAGGTGGTTATGAACATCAGGAGGAGCTACCATTTGCTGTGAGCAGGCTTGTACATTATGTCTAAAAAGGCCAGTACCAACCTTTATTCCAAAGTTGGAAATAGCTGTAGCAAGAAAATGTAGCACAACTGACCCCTTCTTCCATGTTTATTTTGGGGAGTATGGGGAGTGGTACAAAGCCATTACTTGGTCTTAAAACTAAGTTTTAAGCAGTCTGACAGCTCCCAGCTTTTGGCTTCTCTGAAAGTCTCTTGTGACCAGCTAGCAAAGAAAAAAAACTTGGTGCTCAACTTAGATCTGCACCAAGGAAGTTGGGACATCATTTCTTCAGGCATGTTCTGTTAAGTGGGAAAAGCTGCAGCCACACAGCAAGTGCATTTCTGTTGATGTCTGCTCTTCCCTAATTAAGCCAAAGTGCTAGTGAATACAACCTTCTATGTCTCCTGCATTCTGCTGTCTGCCAAGTAAAATAGAGCAGCACACAAAGTCTCTGGCAATCAGTGCACTGAGACAAACATCCAAAGCTCCAGCTGACACCCATAAGTGACTCCTTTGTTCATCTGCCTTCCTTCTCTCACGACACAAGCACAGCTCCTGTGAACTGGCGTCAAAAGACCTGGAGTTAATACTGCGTAAAGGAGACACGAGTCCATAGACTGAAGTCTGACAAAATACCAGAGCCCAGTGTCCCTTCAGATACTCCAAGTCATCCAGTAACTGTGGAGGTGTCAGACATGATTTAGAGATCAGTACTTTCCATGATCCTGACAGAATCCTCAACAGGCCTTTAAAAATGGCTCTAATATTCATTAAGGTAGATGAATCCCACCCAGAGGGAATTTTCCACAAAGAACAAACTAAATTCCACGTGTCTGGCTACAGATCAGCTCATGGGTTCCTATATGACCTGCTCTGCTCATGGGTTCATACATGGGCTTGTGATCTCTCACCTTCCTGTCACTCAAAACAGGTATGGCACAGTTCCATGCTTTTCTCAAATACTACTCTTATCCCTTTTCTTCTCTAAACCAGAGCAAAGAAAGCATTACCTATTTAAAAGAAACCTGAATATTAGAAAATGGTAGTCCTGGAGAGTTAGCATTTTTATTTTCTGAAACAAGTTCTTCCTACTGCAGTCTTCAGAATAGACAATATTAAAAAAACCCCACCATAATATTGCAGGTACTGTTTATCTTCGTTCTTCTTTGTTATCAGTATTGCCATCCAGGAAGAACTACAATATCATTAACACTAATAAAAGACTTCCACCCTGAGCAACTAAATTCAAGTAAATGAAATTAAACATTCTTTCCAACTAGGAAGTGTATTTTCCATACCTAATACACAGGAGAACTACTTACAAGATGGTTTCTTTTTCAACAATATATTTATTTTTCTTTAATACACTTAAAACTGTAAAACTTGTTCTGCTTCTTATTACTTGACAGTCCAGTTCTTTAAAAGCCCCAAGTATGTTATTGAAAGAGCACATTCCTTTGCTGTACTCACCTTCTGTCATCTCCATATCTGGGTTTGCATTTTTGTCCAATGGACCATCATCAGATGTACTTCTCAACAAGACACTCCTATAAACCTACAAGACACCAGGGAAAAACACTCTTGTTGAGGAAAGCAAGGAAGTCAGATGAGATGAAATCCAACTGAACAGGAACAAGTATTACACTGCAGAGGATATGACTTCTCTTATAAGCATAAAAACTTGAAAAGCCACTTCTGAGCTTCACAGAAAGTAAAGCCAGTGCTATGGACTTACATGGCTGTTTGCCTGTGGCTGATTTCTGTAACTTTTCATTATGTCCTGAAAAGTTCTTTCCTCTTTGGTTACCTGGAAAAGAAAAGGCTGTTGAAGATCAAGTGCAAGCATGAAGGCCAGGCTGCTTAGGTCCAGTATGTAACTTTCTGAGGAGCATTACTATCAATACATAATAAAAAAAATTATCTCTAGTGATGAGAGCATGAAACAACAAAGATTCTTCTGGTTCAGGAATTCCTTGTTTCTTAGCCACTAAAGTTTTTGTTGCTTATGATGCTTAGGCATTACCCCTTTCCAGACTTTTCTTCCAGGGACACTTAAAATTAAAGAAAGGAAATATTAAGTAAAAAATGTGTTTTGCGAATTTGGAAACTGGATCCCTAACTTTTCTAAACAGAAAGTGGGGAAATCCTGAACAAGACATTAGGCAGGTACACACATGCAATTTCACTTTGCTTTTTTATTTCAAAATAGCTCATTTCTTAAAGCGCTTTGTTTTTCAGCCACACATCTGTAATTTTAAGAGCAGACAAAGCAACAATTTTTGTAGTAGGAGCCAAGAGACAACGTGTCAAGGTCTCTGGCTAAGCTGTCAGGTCTCACACTGCACTGGAGACAGCATTCAAAAGCCTGTATTATAAAAAACCCAAAACAATGGACAAATTACACGATAAAACACAGAGCACTGACTATTAAATGGCTTTGCTATCAGTGTTGACATCAGGTGAGCCTAACCCATGCTGCAGTTAAGAGCACAGGTAGTCACAATTTATACATCAGTTTTTCTCCACACAGTGCTCCTCTTCATTTGCCCTCAAGAAAACATAATCTAGCCTCCTGAACTCTGTGTCTGAATTAGGCTTGATGGACACTGTAACCATCAGCTCAAGTTTTAGTCAAACCAATAGTCTAGTTTCAAAATCCAATTTAACACCACCTTAAAGCTGGCAAATGAAATAAGAAATGAAGTACAATAGGAACCACCTCAATTCCTCAGCCTGAATCATCAAAAGCTAAAAGGATTTTTTGGGAATAGAAACCACATTACACAAATTCGTTCCTGCAAATTTATGCACCTGCCTAATTCTGTGATTGTAATGGAATTTTTAGTTCAGATTGACAGATTGTCAAGATGACAAATGGGGCAGAAAACAAATACAGGGCAGTAAGACCACACAGTGCTTTGTCTGTGTCAACCAGTGCTACTGTGAACACACTCAAGAAGAGAAGAAAAACTCTGTCAAGAACTTCCATCAACAAACCAGTGAGCTAAGATATGCAAAACAAGGAAAAAAACATACTGAGACTTCATCCACTTCCTGAAAGGACCTTCCCCCTCCCTCCAGTAATGACACCAATGAATCAGTCAAACTGCAAATGCTGAACACACCTGCTATTTTGAACACAAAATTGAACATAAAATTCCATTAATTTCTTAAAACTACACGTTACCTTTGCCATGATATAAAAAGCACAGAGAAGGAGCTGGTCCAAATGCCTGTCTTTCATAAGATCAGCACAATGAACCAATGTGAATTCAAAACATGTCCATATCTTCCTGCGCAGGTCATTGGAAACATCCAGTTTCAAGCACAGATCACGCAAGCGCACGCTTGCCAGATGATACACCTGGAAGGAAAAGACACACACTAAAGAGTGAAGCCAAACAAGCTCATCCCGGCCTGCAGAAATAAAAGACATCAAAGCAGAGATATTCTATAAGGGCCACCAAGATGATTAGAGGAGAGGAACACCTCTCCCATGAGAGATCTGGGAGGGTGGGAGTTGTTGAGCCTGGAGAAGAAAAGGCTGCAGAGAGGCCTTAGAGCCTTTTCCACTGCCTAAGGGGGCTCTAGGAGAGCTGGAGAGGGACTTGGAACAAGGGCCTGGGTGCCAATGGCTTCCTGCTGCCACAGGGCAGAGTTAGATGGGATACTGGAAGGCAACTCTTCCCTGTGAGGGCGGTGAAGCCCTGGCACAGGGTGCCCAGAGAAGCTGGTGTTGCTCCATTCCTGGAGTGTTCAAGGCCAGACTGGATGGGGCGTGCTCTAGCTTGAAAGTCTCCCTGCCCATGGCAGGGGGTGGAATGATTCAATCTTTTAGGTCCTTTCCAACCAAAATCATTCTGGAATTCTGGGATTCAAAAACCAAGCTATCCACTCTTCAACTGCTGAATCTCTAACACTTGCAGAAAATGCACCTAAAAACATTATGCCTATAGCTTCCATATCCCTCACTAACTAATTAGACCCTTTCTTTATGCTGGAAAGCAGGAAGGGGTAGTGTCATTTTCACTTGCTCTACTGAACAGGAGCAAGAAAGGAAAGTAGGGGAAATTATCATTGTGAGTACAATGATCACTGTAAATGGAAGGTCAAAATTTGAAAACAAATATAAGTCAAGGTTTTAGTTCTTCATAACGAAGAGGAATTATGTTGCCTATGACATGGTTAGTCAAAGACACAGCTACGCCTGAAGTTCTCCCCAGCTGAGAGTAAAACTTCCAAAATGCAACATTCCCAGCTGGCAGGTGGCTGATCAATTATTAATCCTTCTTCAGAGAAACCGCCTGTCACTGGCAAAATTAGAAAACTGATAGTTCAGACAAAGGATGCGACTTACAAGTGTTTCCAGGAATTATTTTTTGTATTAAGATGTACCTTAAAGATTGTTCATGGTAGAACTTCTTAAGTTCCATTGTATCTATACAGATACCCTCAAAGGGGAAAACCTCTGAAAATAACTTACCTAGTAAGAAAATAACAGCAAAGAAAAACCTTCTAATATTTTTGAGAGAGACTAATTTATGGATAGTCTCTTTGTAGTCAACCTAGACCAAGTTACCCTACTTCCTCCAAAGACCCTTCACAAAATTCACACTGAAAATGAAAGCAACTATAATTAAGTCATCAGAAGTTTCTCTGAAGGACACCCAGTTCTTAACTTAATCTTTAAATCCTGCATGATTTCAAACTCATTCTTTCTAGAAACCTTAAGCTACTGTGTTATTCATCACTGCTTTGTGAGTCTCCAGCCCAGCAAGATCAGCACTGCTGGGCAGACTTAAAAAGTGTCAAAGGAGCATCTCCAGATGCTGGATCCACAGCAGTGCAGCTTTCAATGAGTGAGACACAGGAAAATCCTCTCATGTCAGATCTGTCCAACCCTTGCAAATGTAGGGGCAACCAAAATAGCCAAGAGAAGTAAAATCTGAAGTAAAGTATGCCTTTGATATTTATTTATAGAAGCTTCTAATGAAAAAGAAAAAAAAAATCTCATGGGTGGAAAGGAGGAAACTGGACTCTCTGCAACACTCAACATCTTCTTCCTTCTTCTTCAAGGTACGTGAGAACTGCATGTGCCCAGCTTAAGGCACTGAAGACTGAAGGTATGGGAGCTGCACAGGGAGGGAGGCTCCAGCACGGCCAGGAGCACAAGAACAGCTCCCCTTCTGAGAAAGGGCACTCACCTTCCTGTAGAACAGTGCCAAGGAGCCCGTTCTCTTCGGTTTACTGGCCGCTGGCAGCTGCACTTCTTGTGCCTGGTTCCCAGGAGGGTGGCAGGGAGCCTGAGCATCCACTTTACATGGCTGGCCTAAATTAATCGAAATGGGGATCAAGGTGATTCCACCCATGTCATTTGCAATGCCTGGAGAGGATACACATACCCAGAAATAAACTGGTTGCTCTCTTCATGCTGCGGAGTCAAACAGCAAATCAATCTCATTTATGAACATTTGATACTGAAGACATCTCATCCTCTGTACTACAGTCTGAAAATACTCTGTCCCTTGGAGTCTTCAGAAATAGTAAAAATTACATTTCTGGTAAAACTTAAAAGGAGAATCTGAATGTGAATGATCTTTTCTGAAGGTAATCTTAAACTAGAAAGTTTACAAGCAATCACAATTTCTGAACTTGGTTTTCCACTCTACAGGGAGAAGGTGGGCATTCTTTATTTTTTATTTTTATTCTGCAAAACTGGCAGCATATCCTACACAGTCATCATTAGTTTCCTCAGTAATCAAATTATTTTGCTGAAAATGTCCTTAAACATGAGTAGTGCGGAATTTTTGTTTTAATCTTTAACTATAGACCCAATTTTTAAATTAAGAAATGGCTATAACTCATTGCTCATGTGTCATTTTCAGAAATATCCAATTATCACCCCACTTCCACAAAACAGAAGTCTCACAGTATTTTGCTAATGTTAGCACGTAACTCTTATTGAGAAGTTCCAGAGCCTTTTGAGATTTTAACAGACCAGATTAAGACAAATTGCAGTAAATCATTAACGGAGCTGAAAAGCGAAATACTGCTTAGTGCATGAGGTATAACTGGTATAACTGGAAGGAGCACAAACATGATCTTTTCAAGAGGAGGAATCCTCGGTGTGTTTGCCAGGGATCACATGTCTCTGAGGATGTGCTGTTAACATAAACTTAACTATTTTAGTTGCTGTTGGAGCTTAGGATTGCTCCTTTTGTTTTGTCTAAGGGAATTTTCTCCATACATTTCTAAGAGACAAAAACTAAAGAGACAAAAGAAGTTGCCACAGCTCAGGGTAAGGATGGGGAAGGGTTCAGCTGGCTACTGTCTTTACCTGGGGGATTTTCTCTTTGGAAGGTAAAAGATACCTCGAAACTTCCGGCGGGTAGTGAGAGGCTGGGCCCGGCTCCTCGCCCTCTCTCGCTGTTGGGTTTGGAGGAGCGTGGTGCTGCTGCTGCTCGTGGTGGGCGCTTGCTGCCCCTGCCCGAGCCCAGCCCCGGCCTGCTGCTGTGCCCCCAGTGAGCGTTTGCTCATGAGGCAGCCACCGAACCGGGGCCTCCCTGGCGCCCGGCCTCATTGGAAAGGACCCCTGCCCTCTGCTGGGTGCCTCAGGGGAAAAGACCGGGACCCCAACCCCCGGCTGCTCCCAGAGGGCACATTTCCCTTGCTGCTGCAGAGGAGACCCCTGCCTGCCCCAGCCGTTCTTCTGCCGCTGCTCTGAGTTTTCGCTGTGCTGCAGCCCTGTACCCCTGCCTGCCGGGACGCCCCGCAGGGCCGCAGCTGTGCAGTTTCTGCTACATCTCATTTATTATTCCGGGATGAGCTCGCCTCTGCCGTTCCAGCTGCTTCCGAGGTTCCTGCTGCAGTGCGTTTCAGCACCCGGAGGTGCAGCGGGACCGGCTGTCCCTGAGGCTCCAGAGGAAGCCCCTTCTCCATCGCTGCCCCAGCGCGCCGCCATTGCCGTGCGCAGAGGGGCGGCCGAGCTGCGCCACAGCGCCCCCTGCAGCCGCGGGGGAATCATGGCCCCGCCCCGCCCGGCCGGGAGCCAGCAGCGCCCCTGCTGGCTGCGCGCGGAACTGCAGCGCAGGGAAGGGGCTGGGCCGGGAGAAGGCCGCCCTGGGCTCTGCGTCTGCCCTCGGTGCTGCCGGGCTGCTGCTTGTTTGCCTTCTTACACACACATGCTAGTAAGGAACTGCTGCTCCTTTTCTCATGTCTTTGCCTGAAAGCCCTGCAATTTCAAAGTGCTAATAATTCGGAGGGAAGGGGGTCATATTCTCCTTTCCAAGGGAGGTTCCCACCTTCCTTGGCAGACACCTGTCCTTCAAACCAGGACAGCTGTTGTTGACAAAGTAACTGTTTTTTCAGAAAGAAAAAGCAACACACTTTCAAGATGCATGGCTGGTCTAAGCATAACATAAGACTAAAGAAAACATCCTAGTAGAGAAGAAAAACAGCAGGAATTCCTACCATGCAGTGGGATAGTGACCTTCTGTCCTGCTTGTCCTGGTACTGTAGTGGTTGTCATCGTCAGCATTGTCTGGGCAGGAGATGATGACATGTTTTCAGCACCAATGCTTGATGCTGGAGCAATTGTCAGCTTAGTTCCTTTCGTTAAGATTTTTTCCATCTGCATTTCTTTGGGGCTGTCATCTCCAAAGAGCCTTCTCTTAGCACTTCCAGCTGTAGGAGAGCTGTAGCGCTCGTGAACGGAGATTGGAGACAATGGCTGCATGTCTGGCATGTCAAGGAAGAAAAAATAAATGCAACAAAACCTTAACAACAGCAGCTTAATGGAAATACTTTTGCACAGAAGGTGAAAGGATACCTTCCAACTACACCAGCAGAGATCACTTATAGCTCAGGCCTGCTCTCAGAGTTCACTGCTCTGAAGTGCTAAGAACAAGACCTGTAGTCTGACTTCATTTAGTTTTGCAGTCACCCCAGACAGCGCAGTTCTGCCATGAGGTACCACATGGAAGCTGAGCAGCCACTCTGATCCACAGAGACTGAGGAACACAGGGGATCACAGGTACTTACTCCCATCAGTCTAGCAATTAGGAATATTTGTAAGTGCTACTCCTGTGAACACACTCTTCTACAGGAACCCTGAGACCACAATCCTCAGACATGCTGTCTTCCCTATGCTCTGGCTTTCAAACTCTCTCTAAACTGCCCCCAGTAATAAGGTGACTCCACCCTCACATAGCCCCAGTTCCTCTCAGGCTTTTCTGTTGCTTTCAAACATTTGCTCCAGTAATAAGCCTGAAGTACACAGCATTAATGTACCAGGTTTCTGTTCACAGGCTTTTTGCATTTCTGCTGCAGTCTGTGACAATAACAGTGACAAGAATTTCCTATTTCCCATCAATCAGAAATTACCTGGATAACTGGCCAGGTAAGATTGATTGGAGACTGCAGGGATTGAGAGACACGGACCATGCTATGCAAGCAAAGCCCATTTATTACACTGTCACCAGCATTTATAGTTCTCTAAGTTCTGTACAAAATTTTACACTCAGAACCCTTTGCCCCTGCTACTGTAGCAACACAATCTTTTCACTCAGCAGGTCCCTGTTATATTCCTGTGCACCAGCAATGTCCTTGTTACATCTTCTCTCCTTAGAGCAGTCAGTGACCAGACTGATGTCCTCACTTTTGATTTTGCCTTGAGTTTATCTCTCCCACGGCTTCCCCTGCACCAGGGCCAGGAGGTCGGTGGTGCCACCCAGCTCAGCTTCTGTAGCTGCTTGACCTTCCACAGGAGACCTTACTTCTAACTCTGCCAAGATGGTTCTCTTGGCACCAAAGACAAATAAACATTTCCTATCCCCACCATCCTCCCAACTGAATTTAGGAGAAGCCTCCAGCACCAGATTCTCATATACAAAGCTGTGTCTCACACAGCCTTCCCCATATATAAGACACCCTCTCCAGTTTGGTTCCTCTTCCATCAGCGAACCCTAACACAGAAACTGCTTCTACATCTTTCTAAGGAGTATTCAAAAAAACACCCAACAGCCTTGTTTGCTGCCGGACAAACACCGAAGGAGAGACATTACACAACCACCAGTCCATGGAGCACGTGCAAGAACATACGGACCAGTGTCTGGGATACAACAAAAGCAGCAATTCTTAACTGGAGAAGCATGCAAAGGAAACAGCAGTGCTGGCACTGCTTCTGCACCCTCACTGTCAGGAGACAGTTCTGTGTGAGATCCAGGAATCTGCAAAGATCAGCTTCAGAGGACAGAACACTGTAGCCAAGCATTGTCCTCCACCCCTGCACAGAAACCAGAAACAGTTCTGCAGGAAGCTGGAGTAAGTGTAGCTCTGTCATTATATCTAAAAATCCAGTCAAACTCACTGACCATAAACTAAGCAAAAAAAAAAAAAAAGGAAAAATTTGAACATCAATGAACAATAAGTGATTGATGACAACCCACCTCAGAGTAAGGTCACCCTGGCATTAAGCCAGCAGCAAAAGCTGCTCCAGTCCAGAATGGAAGCACTGTCTGAGCACTGTCTGCTGCCAGTTACTCACAGCACAGGTTTGACTGAGTGCATCTAGACCTACTCTTGATCAAATAAACTTCACAATTCCAAACTCTCAATTCAGATTCAAGGATGCTTTTTCCAATTACAAAGAATTGTAACCCTCTCCCCAAATTCACACATTCAAATAATATCAGAAGCCTTGAACTTACCTCGTCTTAAACTCCCACCAAGATCTGTCCGAACCTCTTTCACTCGAGGATGAATTATGGGAGATAATGGCATCATGGGCAAGTGCCCAAAGCCACTTCCTCCATTGCTGGCCTCAAAATTACTGGGAAATATTACCTGAGCAATAAGAAATGTCAGTATAAGAAAACAAATTAATTTCCCTTCTTTGTGACAATCTATTAATAGAAGGTCTTCTGCAGTAATAATCTCATTTGAACAGTTTTCTGAATAAAAAAACAAGTGAGAAAAAACCCATGAACTTCCTAGTAACAGGAATGAGATCACATACTTCTTCACAGGTTGGGACTTTGTTTTCTGAGGCCTCGAGTGCATTCCACAGTGCTGAGTTCCGAGTCCAGGCCAGACTCTCCAGAATCTGTTCCTCGATGCTATTGAGGTGCTTCACCATGTCTCTGGAAAGTCCTTCCTCAGAGCGAATCAGCACTTCAATAACCTGATGGCAATGACACACACACACAGCGATGTCACACTGCTCATGTTTAACACCATCTGTCATTTATTTCAGGCTCCTGTTCAAAACATCAACACAGAGTGCTCCAGCCTCCTCCACACATCTTCATCTTCCCCAACCCTCTTCGTTTAAGCCCCTTTCCCAAAGCAACCTGGGGGCTGGAAGAGGACAGCAGATATGCCATTAGTGCAGAACAATCCACTGCAGGGGTTTTTAGGGCCTCTCTCACCACTGCTAACTGTGCACAAGTGAAAGCACTGGGCAGCACTGAGCTGGGAGATGTGATCAGGCACAGCTGCTCAGAAGGGGATGGGACAGCCCCAGCATTTCAGCTCTTGCAAACAAGCAGCCCATAACACGAGGAGATGAAAACCACTGCTTTAAAGTTTCATTCAAGAAGCATTCAGAACCCTTAACAAGGACAAATGGGGGCTGAACAGAGCTGACTGCAGTATCATACTCCAACACAAGATCCACCCTGTGTTACCCCTATCAGAGGAGCTTTCAGCCTGTTTTGCTAAAGCTCCAAAGATGGAAATGCCACAAAAGTTCCCTGGAAGACCTATGGATATGTTTGGTTATTCCTGCTACAGAAGCTACACCCAGAGAACAAAGTTACAAATGTCACAAGTCTTTCTTGTGTGAGACCTCTGCAATGGCAATTTTTGTCCAAATAAAAGTGCTGCAAGAATATATACTAAATAGCTGAGAAAATTCAAATCAAACATAAATCTGTTCCATAAAGTTGGGTCTGTACCAGTTTTGATGGAGGCTACCAACAGCCACAGCAATATTGACTGATTTGTTACAGTTCCAGTACTGCCCTGCAGATGAGTAGTAAAGGAAAAAGGAAGGACAGATAATGAACCAGCTTTCTCAAAGACCTCAACTTTTTGGTTGCTGTCATCTGAACAGAACTACTTGATTTATTCAGAACTAACCCCAGCAAGCTGCTAGGCATCCAACAAAAACTGGAGGCATATGGATAGGTGATAAAAGGATTGAAGTAGTCAAAAACCAAGTTACACTGGAAGTGGGGAAAATGTAGTTAAATGAAGACCAAAACCAGAGAAAACCCTGGAAAAGATACTCTATGTTCTGTTACATAAAGGAAGAGCCCCCAAACTTAGCAAAGCAAGCCTGTGCTAAGTAGCAGCAGCCAAAGGCAACATTTCAGATCTGTATTTGCTATTTTAGAACTACATTGTAGTCAATAAATATAAATATCAACAAAATACATGCTTAAAGGCTTTAGTCTAGTAAAAGTTGATTGGCAGTATGATACGGACCAGTACAATCTACAAAATGGGTTTTTTTCTTTATATTTCAGATTCAGCTCTGGCATTACACCTCCCAAGTAATACATTTCAGGACAGCCAGCATTTAGAACAGGCCTAATGCACACTCAGCATCAGTCCTTGTCTTACCTGACTCCCTAGGGAGGAAGAGCATCATCCTCTATGACTCTCCATCCAGGAACATGCCATTTTTAATACAGATCCTGTCCCAAGCCAGGGTTTATTTACCTTATAGAAATAGAATGGCCTGAGGTCAAGAACTTCAATGATCCAGGGGAAGGTGCGAGGGGAGCTGTAAGCAAAGAGCACAATCTCCAAGCAGCACGCCAGCAGGGAGCGGTGGAAGAGATCCTGTTCCAGGAGAGCCTGGAGAGAGCACACAAAATGGCATTGGCCTCAGATGTGGGAAACAGAAGTTGGAATTTTGTGGCACTAACACTACACAGCTTATTGTTGGAAAAAAGCTGGCTACTTCTCCCATCCACAACCTCCTTTTTACAGGGAAGTTGAGGAGACCAGAAGTAGAGTAACAACACCAAAACTATCACATTTTGCATGCTATGGACAAATGAACTGGCCTCCTTGCTGTGCATCATAAATGCAGTGCTGTCTAACATGAAGTATTGGTAGTGTTCATTGGGTAAAGAAAATAATAAACATTATCTGTCCATAAATTGGTAATTCTAGAAGGCAACAAAAATTCAAATGTTTAGTTTGGTAGTTATACTGGTTTAAATAGTAGAAGAAAAATACATTTTGGCAGCTCCCATGTATTTTCCCTTTTTAGTATTAACAACATATACAGAGTGCTTTACAGTGGTTTATTCTGGAACTGCCCAAAGACAAACTCCAAGAAACAGCTACAAAAAGCGTTCTAATCTTTCACTGGTTCTTTACTTACAGTCAGATCCTTCCCATGCAGTCTCCGTGTTTCTTGCACCATTATGGTCTCCAAGATTTTATAGTACAAGATCTCTGCCAGTTTTAATCTGTTTACAGCAAAATCTGAAATTAAAAATCAACAGAGATTAAACCAAATACCACTGGCACAAACGGGGTTAAGATTAAACTGACCAGGACCTGTTGTCACCCAAAACAATAGTTCATGTGAGTACATACATACTTTGCAAACAAATAGAAAAGTTCAGAAATCCACTAGTTCCAGGTACAGCATGAAATTCCATAAACACTTTAAAGGATTATTTACTGTAATATTTCTTGTGATGTAATTTTGCAATAATTTCCTATTTGCTTTCAGTTTCCTTTAAATTATAAAGCTAACAATAATGCAAGTTTACACTTGTTAAGAGTTGCTTTTCCATGATTTCTTGCTTATCCCAGTTTGAACTGCAGCCTTGGATTTACTCTGCCAGAAATTTTTATTCTTTACAGTGTACTGTTTGACAGCAGCAGTTTTCTGCTTGGGTGTATCCTGGGATAAAACCAGCTCCACTATATTAAATACAGAAAACAGTATAGGTATGCAATCTGTTTGCCCTGGTTTAGTATTTTTAAACACCCCATGCCTTTCAGTCCATACCTATGTGAGATCCTGGCTGCTCATCTGTTGACTGAGTGTAGTGGCAACAGAATGTCTCACCGATTTCCTTCACTCTGCTCATGATGCTTTCCAAGGGGCTGCGGGCACAAGACCTGAAGCCAAAGGCAAAGAAAGCCTTGTTTATATAAATTAATATCCGGTTTAAAAAATAAATACCAAGAAACAACAACCATAAAACCAAAATAAAAAGCAAATTACACCAAGCACTCCTCATCAGCAAGAACCTGTATTACGCAGACAGAGGAAAACATAAAACCTACACAAGTATTGTGTCCTCTCTTCCTAAAAGGGCCAGGGAGGATCTGCAGATCTTGAACAAACGCAGGAGAAAGCAAGAACCACAGCAGCAGTGAGGAGAAAGATGAACCTGCCAGGAGTGAGGATACAACAGCCAACCAACCAAAGGCACCCATGACACCACAGAGGCCAGGCTCAGTTTGAGGCAGCACTGACAAACTTAGAGGGAAGAGAGCAACATCTTCCCATTTCCTACCAAGACTGGGAGAACTGATGAACTCCACACTGTCACTGCCATAAAAAGGGGCCACAGTATGTCTGGCTGGAGATGCTCTTTCTGAATGCTTCTGAATTTTCCAGCAACTCTGTTTTAGAGGACAGTGGCCCATGGCTGGTGTCAAATGAAGACACTGAATTACTCAGAAAAGCTAGAACTAAAATCAGCTAAGGTTTCTCTTTGAACAAAGCCTTCTAATTAACTTCAAAGCTTTCCCATGGAATTTTAATTTGAAAAAAAAAATATACTGAAGAGCATAGAACATTACACAGTCCAAACTATAGTTTCTCCACGTCTTCCAGGGACACAGTATATATACCTGAGAGCCTGCTGAACTCACATCCAGGATGAGCAAAGTACTCATCACAGCTCTTGCCAAAGGCTTATTCAATTCTTGTTCCCATTTTAATATTTACCTCTCTATTGACAGTCTGGTTTATCATTTGGAGCAAAGACGTGTTTTATTAGAGATTACAGACACATTGATGTCTTAATTGTAGAGTATAAATAGTATCAGTCCTTATAAAAACAATCAAAGAAACATTCAAACCAAATGCATCCCACAGAGCACAGCTCTAAACTTTTAGGAACTAGTGCTAGCAAAACTTTCAAATATACGTAACTCCAAAGATGAGAACAGTAAGTAATACTTTTCACCTAGTTATGATAGTTACTTTAAAAAGAACTTGGATTTATTCAGAACTAACCCCAGTATGCTGCTAGGCACCCAGCAAAAACTGGAGGCATACGGATAGGTGATGAAAGGATTGAAATAGTCAAAAATCAGTGCTAATACTAAATGTCCATTCTGATTTGTAAAAATACATATGGAGACCTTACACTGTAACACAGCAGGACCTTAACTTGGAAAGATATTAGGCAAACACTCAGCATCTTCACAGGTATTTACTATTCAATCACTGCTTTTTCTGAGCTGTGCTCAGGAAGGAAGGCAGAAATCTGAAGTGTGCTCAGGGAACAGCCACCTGAACATCCCGAGTGGGAAACACAGCTGCTGCTATTCCAGGTCAGCACTGACAGACCAGGGTCACTGCAAGGCTCCTCCTTGTGCCATGGGGCAAGACCAACACACCCTGCAGTAGTGTGCAGGAAAAATGGGCAGCCTGTGGGTGCTCTAAGTTTTATCTTCCCAGCTGAGGGTGAAGACTGCAGCTTGTTCACCTGAACAAGCCCTTCGCCAAAACCTCTGCCAATATGGTTACATCTTTTAATTGATTGTACTTGTTTAATTTGTAAACAAACAAAAAAGGCATTTGGCTTTCAAGCAGACAGACAAATCACCATCAGCAAAAGCTGAAGCTCCATTAACACAATGGTGATGACAAGTCAGACGGGGGATGTGTGTGTGCAGCCATCCTTCTCCAGATGAGATCATCAAGAAAACAGAAGATCCTTCAACAAGAAATAATACAGAAACACAGACCAAAATATTCTGCCCCCCCCCGCCAAAAAAAAAAAAAAAAAAAAAAAAAGCCAAAAGATGAGTTTCTGTGCCAATGAAAGCAGCTGAAGTGGACATACTCACTCAAAAATAGCTGTAAGTTGTTCACTAGGTGCATTTTTCAACCCAGCCACCATGCTCTGCAAACGGCTCACACTCTGTGTGGCTGAAGCCACTGGAGTGATGGCAGTTTCCTTTTCTCGCAGGTATCTTCTGCCAGTCAGTGGAGTTGAAGGTGCAAATGACCTTTTCTGTCAGATAGAGAAAAATAACAAATATAAATCAGCCAACAAAACAGTTTCAATTACCTTCCAAATGAGCATCTCCTGCAAAATTCCTTCAAAGATTAAAATTACACCACTAGCAGAACCACGTGAAGGCTTCACCTGTGAGCTCAGAAGTGACTAAAAATGAGCCAAAGTTTTCTCAGGACTCCATAAATAGAAAATGTAACAAATCTTCAAGCAGACAAAAATTAACTCAAAGGGATTTTACAACTAAAACACAGTAAAACAAAACCTAAAATTTTTAAACCTGTAAATTTTTAGGCTCATCTGAACATTGAAAATACTGGGCGAGGAAGAGGAAGCACATGCTTCCATTCTCAGTCCCTGACTGCATTAGCTGGGCGACACAAAGAATGGGAGGCAGAGCTGCCCAGGAGAGATTCACAGGACAACATTCCTTGGGAAATGGGCCTCCCTTCATCCAGCATCCAAAGGATGAAGTGGCACTGAGCAGATGGAGCAGTGTGGACTGCACTCACCTATTTGTATCCTGCTCTCTGAAAGTGATACAAGAAAGTTTTTGGATTTAATTACCTGAACTGAAAACATTCTGAAGATACAAGGCAAATAGTAAAGGTGAAGCCTGCAGTCGTTATGCATAAACAGTGATATTATACTACAGAAACAGAAGCTCAGAATTCATAAAACCCTTTCCAACTCCCATCTTTAATGTTCCTGATCACAGAATACACTTATATTTGGGAGAAAAAGCTAAGACATATGATTCATTTACACTTGCACCAGCATCTTAGAATAAGAATTCTTATTTTTTAACTGACATGTAAGTCAAACAGTATATGGTTCGTTCACACAGCCAATATTATTTTTCCCCCTTATCCAAGATTAAAAAGTCATCAAGCAACTGTTTTCCTGCATGTCAACTTCATTAAATACATTTTACGTTTTTAAATACAGTAAAACATTAACTCTGTTTATAGGCTACTTTTTGTAATGAAGAGAGACTTTGCTGAGGCTTATGAGTGAAACTTATTTTCCACAGAAGAGTAGGAAAGTTGACTTTTCCTTTCCTAAGAAATGAAACAATGGGAAAACTAATTCAGTGTCAAGGTTTTGTGGTGATTATGGGTATAAATGAAGCTTGATCAAAACTAAGACTTACATATTTGGGTACTAATTACTTACTTATTTTCCTTGGACAAAACCAAACTCTACACATGGAAGTGCACTCATTCTGTTTAAGGAATAGTTATTTCAAAAATTCCACAGGAAAAAAAGATACCATCTTTTCTCCTTATAGCAAGACAGCATTGAAGCCTGTGTTCACCATCTTCCTCTCAGGAAGAAGAAATTTCAAGTCACCTCAATAATTCAAAGAGTGCATAAGGGTGAGAAAACTTGAAGGAGCTCTTCAAGTGAGCCTGCCATGTTAAATGAATCACCTTTTCAAAATGCTGCTGCAGATGACACTCCATGTGAGCTCTTGCTGTTGTTTTCTCTCCTGGCACATCTGCAGAGAACTTTCGAGTGCCAATTTCTTCTTCAGCATCAGCTCCCAGGAAAACTCTCTCATCAAAGTCACCCACAGTGAGAACATACTCTTCATACTCTTTATTCAGTGCTTTGCTGAAAGAGAAGCCCAGGTTTTATACCAAAGGTTTAACTGCTGAAGAAACCAAGAAGGTGCCCCAGGAGCTCAGGTACAGCCCCAAACCAACACAGGGTCAGAGTTTCATGCTCTGGACAGCAGTGCTGCTTCCATCTCCTGAGCAACCTGCCTCTGGTCATCACTGCCTGCCCATGGACCCAAAACCTCTCCAGGATCACTGCAGGCATCACTCTTCCTGGATTTCAGTAAGAAGAGGGAAAAACCAACTTTGCTTTCACACCAGTTGTGAATAAAGCAATCTGGAAGTGCTCAGCTGGTCAGAGGTTAAATGTGTGCACCAGGGAGAACTGCACCCAACTTGCTCCACTGCATTTCTGGCTTTGCCACTCTGTGGCCCATAATTTTCCTAATGGTGCAGAGGAGGGGAAAGTGTGAGGAGTTACCTGCCTGGGTTTTATTTCTAAAACCACCACTGACATGTGATACCAAACAAATCCTTCATTTTCTTTATTCCAGCAAACCTAATTGGAAAAAAGGAACGTTTAATCCCACCAAGGCTGCAAGCTTTAAAGATATACTTGAGAAGCAAAATGGAACTTCTGGATGAAAATCAGAAATGGTTTGCACCAATAATCTTGCCTGCAGCTGGGCCAGGAGTGCAGTTCCAGCATGTATAATAATGGAATATAACAACGTATTCATGACACAACTAACTCTGTGATCCCACGGGAAACCTGACTGTATCAGAGGTCTGCCCCATGTCTTTTAGGAAAATGTAAAGATCCGTAGAAATCTGGACAAAAAAAACCAACACAGAGACCACTTACAAGAGTCTTTGAGATGTCAGACTACTTGCAAAAGAACAGGGACTACTGTATCACTTCATATGACAGTGTTATTGAGGGAAAGGAAGTAATAGGAACACTATTAATCTTAAACAGAAATACTAGGAGAAATTCAATGTTCAATGATCAAAGAAATGAGTTTATATCTAAACTGAGGTGTTATCTACATTAAAATAATTGAGTCTTTGCTCAAAGTTCCCAAAGCAAACCAACAAGTTAAAAGCTCACAAACAAAAGACAGAAACAAATTAATAGGTATTTTTGCAAAAGGCAAAAAAAATTGACAAGGATTTTTTATAGTCTGCATTCACTGTGGAGTGAATTTACAGTTTCTGAAACAACTACACTTCCCTCCCACAGAAATTGTTCACCTCTTTTTTGTGGTTTGGCAATTGTTGCTTCCTTTTCTTTCTAGTCCATCAGCAGTATCCACAGATTTATACACTCAGAGAAATAAATTTAGGGATTTCCCTGCTTGGGAATAAAATGTGTATAGAAACACATCTGTAACCTTCAGAGCCAAGGTTTTAGCTTGCATTACATTATTCAAAGATTACAGTTGCCAGAAAATCAGAGCAAGCACAAAAAAACCTGATATCAAGGAAAAAAACTGCAGTTTGAACCTCTGACATTGGCCACACCTCTGATACAGAAAGTGCTTCAGCCAGAGAGCAGCTTTGGTGGTCAAATAATCAAAACCCATTAAATATGGAAAGACAAAGGAACGGGAAAACTGAGATTCAGTACACAAAGGCCTGTGCTTTAGACATGAACCAAGTCCTATGATTGAGAACAAAAACTGTAACTTACCTATTTTCTGTAAAGTTGCAAAGATCCAACAGACAATCTCCTTTTAAGATCTAAGAATAAAAACAGAAGTATCTTAGATAATAAAACCAAAACTGTCTCAAGTGTGACAGCACAATAGTCTTAATCAAAAAGAAAATGAGATTTAGGTGCAGAACTGGACTCTTTTTTTTTGGCCTAGACCAAAGGGCTACATAATATATTGATATCAAGGAAAAAAACTGCAGTTTGAACCTCTGACATTGGCCACACCTCTGATACAGAAAGTGCTTCAGCCAGAGAGCAGCTTTGGTGGTCAAATAATCAAAACCCATTAAATATGGAAAGACAAAGGAACGGGAAAACTGAGATTCAGTACACAAAGGCCTGTGCTTTAGACATGAACCAAGTCCTGTGATTGAGAACAAAAGCTGTAACTTACCTATTTTCTGTAAAGTTGCAAAGATCCAACAGACAATCTCCTTTTAAGATCTAAGAATAAAAAACCAGAAGTATCTTAGACAATAAAATCAAAACTGTCTCAAGTGTGACAGCACAATAGTCTTAATCAAAAAGAAAATGAGATTTAGGTGCAGAACTGGACTCTTTTTTTTTGGCCTAGACCAAAGGGCTACATAATATATAATCATATATATAATCATATCAAGACAGAGCACAAAGCCCATTGGATCCAAGCTCCAGACAAATTCACTGCTCAGAGCCAGCCCTGCAATGTGACATCTGCTCACTGCTGGCTTAGGGACTGGCTCAGTGAACAACTACAAAGAAGGTTTCACAGAGCTTGGAAAACATTTCCAGGATCAGAACTGAACAGGACAATTTGTACATCTGCAACCTCAACCTCTCCTTCCAAAGCATTTTGCTCAACTTCAAGAAAAGCAGCAGGATCCACAATCCATTGACACCCATCCCATACAATTATTTCACAAGGAGATTGCTTTTTTCTGCCTGCAGAAAACATCATCCTTCATGATTCAGTTTCACACTGTCAAGAAAGGAAAGATTCTTCACTGACATAAAAAGCTGAAATAGAGACCTTACAGCACACAGCATTAAAAGTGTGAGGGAATTCTGCTCCTGCTAAAATACAAAGAAAACCTGAGCCACTCTGAGTTCCTTTGCTCATTAACAAGTTCCTTTGCTCTCCCCTGGGGAACCTGCAGGATTAAATGATCTCGAGACCACCACAGAGCACCACCAAGTGCTCATAAAAGTCACAAGATGTACCTTTCTGTCAAACAGCTTTGCAATGTATGGTTTGAAGTAGTGCTCCTTTATGCCCTTCGCTTCCACAAGGAGCCCGTCGTGCAGCTCGCAGAGCATGGCAATGATGCAGGGAGGCTCCTTGGAGGCTTTGATCTCCAGAGTGTGGAACTCCACTGGTAAGCCTGGGAACCAGGAGGAGGGGGGAAGACAACCAACCTTCAACTTTATTTCAAATGAGCCAAGAGAACAAAGCACAGTTGATTGTAAATAATCTATCCCCACCATACCTTTAAACGATGGATTTAGCAAATCTCTTCTGTTTGGACACAGAAGGGCATTGGCAAAAATCAGGTCCAAGCAGCACAGAAGTAAATGATAGGAATTTACTAAATCATCTCCAATCATACGGAAATTACCTTTAAGAGACAGCACATCACGTCAAGCAACACAACAGCAGTTCACAGCTGGGAATGTATACAAACCATGCAGGCAAAGCAAGCAGCCTACCCTTAGTGTACACAAAGAGAGTCCAGCAGAAGTTGAAGAGATCTTTGACGCTGCATGGCACCCGCCTGTCAACAAGAAAAATAGGGGGAGAAGTTACTCTTCAGTTCCAAGAAGCCAAATCTTGTTCTACAGTTCAAATTTCATTCAATTTCCCTGCTCAAAACAACAATAAGCTGCTGTCTTAATTCCATACCGAGGCACAGTCTAAGCTACATGTCCTGAGTTCAGCTCTCACTGCCTGACAGAAGATGCCTGACCTGGCTCCAGAGTGTCCTGCACACATCGACAACTTCCCAGAGCTCTTCCCAAGCCAAAGCTGCCTCTGGCCTCTGACCCTGCTACACTATTCTGCTGGTGTCACACCTCGCACAGAACCATCCTCCAGCCACAGGTGGGGAGGTGACAAAGGCTATATATATTCCAGTGACGGCTTTTCCAAAATATTTTACTAAAAGCCATCCCTTTAGAACAGGCAATTATAGCTTGTACTACAGCTCAGCTGCTGACTCCTGTTTGGAGCAGAACTATCCAAGGCCACGGAGCTGGAAGACCAAGGAAGACATGACTCAACCCACAGAGCAGCCAAAGCTGCAGTGGCACCAACCAACACTGCTCTGAGAAAGGAACACCAACAGAGCACCTCCCCCTGCACTCCACCTGGATGTGGAGCTACACTGGAGCACTGCACCAGAACAATTATCCCCCCTCAAATCCAGAGAACCCACACGAACTGACAAAAACACCTTGCAGACCCACAGCTTGCTCCCTCACCCCCAAGGTTACAATCTCACTACAAAGCTGTCTCAGCCACATATTCTTGCAGGGAGTATGGACAAACTCCTTTCAATAAGGCAGACATTCCATGTTTGTCTTGAAGATGACACCACACGTTCCCAAATTTGTCATAAAAATAAGCACATCAGCTGTAACTTCTTCCCATTTGGTGTTTCCACTCATCTGGCAACCATGGCAGACAGCCAGCAGCGTCACAGGGCCGTGACAGCCCCCGAGCAGAGGGATCTGGTGTGACACCAACCCCCTGCCAGCACTGTGCCAAGACAAAACACGCCTGTGCTACTTCAGCTATTGCTGCTAAACATCTCAAGTGTTGATCTCACTGCAGCTTGGAGCTAACTCACACTCATGGTACCTCTCCCCAGCACATCCTGACATTTTCACTGTGGGACAGTTCCTGTGTTACAGCAGCTGCACATGAAGCCCAGCTGACCTGAGCACTGGCTGCATTTCAGAGTCAAACAGACCCCATCACTTTGGAAATTAATTTTCATATACTTATATTGTGTATAACTCTTTCCAGGGAAAAGTCACATCAAATCTAAAAAATACCTCTGCTTCCGGCTTCGATGCGGTTTGGAACTTTCTTCATAAGGGTTTTGAAATATATCAAAAAATATTGGTTCAAACTTTTTGAAAATCACGGTTGACACTTCAAAATTTCTCTCCAGCCTCTCAACTCGCTCTCGGAATTCCTGGGGAAGGTTTGACATGTCCATCCACTTCTTCATTTTGCTAAAAAACTGAATTAAGCTTAAAAGAAAAAAGAAAAGTCTGTTTTGAGCTTTAACTAACCTCCTTTCTAAAATATTTAAAAGCCAAAATGCAACATATTCGCTCCTTTAAAGATGGACATTATTACTATGTGGGTTTACAATTTATTTTGCTAAGATTCCCAAACTGTATGTTATCAGCTTTTTGCCTTTTATCACTCTGGGGTTTCTCCTTGACCCTCTTTAAGGCACAGAAACATTAACTTGATGTGGAGGCTGCCAGCACAGCTGTGCAGAGCAGGGCAGTGGCACACAGCAAAGTGCAGGCACAGCTCTGTGTGTGCTGAGGTGGAGGTAAGACAGGCAACAAAACAAGGAGTTGATGCCTGTCAAAGTTACCTGCACAAGAACCTGTCAGCTGGGGCTGCAAACAACTGACACCTCCAGCAGCTCAGCGGGGAGTGGGGTCTTTAAATGGAACAAGCAAGAGCAACATTCCGGGCTCCAGGTGCCCAGGTCAGAACCACAGCGACAGGGCAGCTGCTGCCGGGGCCGTGCAGGTGGGTTCTGTGATCACCAGTGCTGTGCTCCCAGAAAAACCAGCGGCTGCCAGCACTCGTGGGGATTTGGCCTGAATCCCGAGTCAGACACACGCTGTACCGGGATGGCACGCGCTGAGATGTTTGTGGTGAAATTAACTACGGAGACAAACAACTGGCGTGTGCAGAACAGCTGCTGGTCCCACACAGGTGGTTTCCTAAAGGCTTGAAGTTGGAAATTATGTATTTGCATCTAATTTCCATCTGTAATAGCAGCGGATTTACTGCTTTAACCCCGCCGTGGCTGGCAGCGCACGGAGCAGCAGCGGCAAGGGCGGCAGCTGGGCCAGCGGCTCCCGCAGGGCAAGGCAGGGCAGGGCAGTCCCGGACAGGGCAGTCCCGGGCAGGGCAGGGTAGTCCCGGGCAGGGCGGTCCCGGGCAGGGCGGTCCCGGGCAGGGCAGGGTAGTCCCGGGCAGGGCAGGGCAGGGCAGGGCGGTCCCGGGCAGGGCGGTCCTGGGCAGTCCCGGCGCGGGGCGCTCACCTGAGGCGTGCGGAGCGCAGGATGCGGGTCAGGGAGACGCCGTTCCCCTCCATCGGGCTGCTCCCCACGGTGGGCACGCGGCTCCGGCGGCAGGCGACGTACAGCGCGCAGGCCAGCCAGTGCAGCGCCTCGCCCTGCGGGCACGGGCGCCGCGGTCACCGGGGCAGCGCCGCGCCCCGCGGCGCCCGCGGCCCCCAGCGCCCTGGCACACGCGCCGGTGCAGCATCCTCTCGGCGGCTCCGGGCCCCGCGCATCCCCCTGCAGGGCCGGGGAGCCGCCCGCTCCCGGGCCGCGCCGCGCTCCCCGGCACTCGCGGCTCGATGCCGGGCGCTCGGAGCCGTGTGCCGGTGCCGGTTTCGCTGGAAGCCGCGCTGAGGACGCAGCCCCCTTGGGAGCACTCGCGGCTGTGGGGACAGCGGCCGGCCCCGCGGGCAGGAAGCGGCTCCCGCACCTCTGAGGGGCTCGAGTCCCGCAGCGTCCGCAGCTCCGGTTCGGGGACAGGGAACGGGGCTCTGCCCCGCCTGGCGCTGGAGGATACCTGAACCGCCTCCCTGCTGCTGGAGGGCGTGGGACGGAGCGCACACGGAGAGCACACGGAGAGCACACGGAGAGCACACGGAGCGCGGCCGGCGCAGCCGATCCCCGCCCGGCGGTGCTCGGGGCGCGCTCAGCACCGGCCCCGCCGCACCCGCTCGCTTGGCAGCCCCTGCCCTGCCCGACCTCCCACCCACTCACACATCGTGGGGTTGGGTTTCTTGAAAATGCCCTTCTGCAAAGTGCAGGGATCAGTTTGTGGGATCCGCGGGCTGGTGGGGCCGGTCCTTTACCGAGAATCAGATCAGCTCCGTGCTTTCCAAAACATTACTTCCATAAAAACCAGCCTTAATCCAACATCTAAATCTGTTTGGGGAAAGATTGGCCATAAAAGCATGGAAAACTGCCTGTCAAGCAGGCAAGAAATATGTTTCATTTGGGGTATTGAGGCTTTGGGTCCCACAGACTTATTTATTCCTTCTGGACCAGACGTGTGTCTTCCTCAAGGTGAGCCGAGCTTTGTTCTTTGTGCATCTATTCCTCTATCAGAAATCTCTGTCCTTTTCTGGAGGAAAAGAAAGTCACTATGAGGTTTTCCTTTAAAATTTTGTTTTTCCAAAGAGTACAGGCAATTCCTGTAAAATGTCTACCTGTGCTATAGCACAGCCAGCTGAGAAACTTGACAACCAATGTTTGGCAGGAGCCCAGAGACAGGAGAGGCTGGAGCATCTGCCTTGGCTTTCACTCCCCACAGCTGCTCCTGCAACAGGTCCAGGACACTGCAACTTCTTGAAACCCTCTGAAGGCTCATGCTGGGCTTGCCTGAACTGATGTGTTCAGGCAGGCTGGCACTGAGTTCCAAGCTAAACCAGTGATGTCACATCCCATCCAGGCCACTGGCAAATGGAGCCAGGTAGTGGTGCTGTATGGAGTTGTTAATGAATTAAAATCCCACGGGAAGAACAATGCCACATGGGGAGTGGGACTGATTTTCTGCAGGGTTGAATATCTTGCATTGTTTTATACCTCTTGAGATGAAATCTTGATTCTTCAGGAATTAGTGCCAACCTATGGCACTGCACCTATGGTCTCCAGCCATGCCTGGGAGCACCATGAAACAACCAGCATCCCTAAAAGCCACATGGGAGGGTGAGGATGACGTTCCTAGGCCTGCTGTCCAAATGTACAGGGCACACTTGATGCAGATTGATGGGAAGGGGATTGAGAGAGAATTTTCATTTTTTTCCCTCTACTTTTCCAGAGCTGCTGCTCTGTGGCACTGGCAGCACTCTTTCCTGGCAGCACTGTCTGGTGCCCATGGCTGAGCATGGGTGCCATTGGCAGCTGGGCACTGCTACATGGGGTGTGACGCATTTGGGAACTTTACCTGTAGTGTAGTGCCCAGAAACTGCTTTGAGGTTGTAAAATGTGAGGAGATTCCTCACATTTCATCTCGTGACTCAGTCCACGCTCCACATCCCTGGGGCTGAAGTGGCTCCTGAAGAGGTGAGGGGCAAAACTGCACTGAAAAGCTCAAGTTCCAATGCAAACCAGATGTCATCAGAGAAACTGCCTTCTGCTCACTGCTGGCCAAGATTTCCAGCTGCAAATACTTTCTTGTAAATCTCAAGAGCCCAGATTGGAGACATCTGCACCTAGGTTAGGTAAAGCTCCCCTAACCATGGCTCAGTGCTGAGGAAAATTCTTCCCCCCTTTTTGTGACCATAAAGAGAATTAAGAGATCCTGTCTAAATGTGTGATGAGACTTCTCTGTGTCCTGTATGATAAAAATCAGGCAAGGACAGCAGGGATGTGCAGCTGTGCCTGTTTTACTCACTCTCTTTGGGAAGGGGCACTTGTATCCTGTAAAACACAACAGGGAGCAAGCTGTGCACACAGTGCCCATCCTCCACCACATCCACTCACTGCCACCAGCAGACAGCACACCCTGTCTGAAGAGACACAGACACTACAGCCACCACTGATGTGACAGCCCAAAGCCAGCACATGCTCCTCCATGGCCCTCCTGCTGCAGCTTCTGCCAGTAAATATCCTGCATTATGGATGCCGAGGTGCAAGGCTGCACTGTGTGGAGCCAGATTTTAAAGAGAGGCTCTGGAACTCTGGAAATTCATAGTTCACACTACCAATTTGCCAGTCTTTTCGGTGGGGTATTTCTCTCTTTTTCTTCCCCAAAGGAGCAACAAAATACCAGGACAAGATGCTTATACAGAGCAGGTGGAGCAATAAAAGCATTGGTTTTACTCCGTGTCTTTTTTCTGGATCTTGAAAGAGTGGAGCTGGTTCTGCACATCATTCTGATGAAACAATGATGAATGCCTGCTTTGCTAAAGGCTGAGATTCTTACACAGAGATTTAGGACAAGCATTTCACAAAACGTGGAGGTGCAGGAAGCGCAGGGAGAGGAGCCCAGCACCCCCAGCACCCCATCTGCTGGGAGGGGCTGTGCACACGCCAAGGGCTGTAAGTGCCTGCAGGGTGGGGGTGTGTGATGACTGCGGAGGTCTCTGGGCTTCCACTCCCTCTTGTGGGAAAAGTGGGTCAGCAGAGAGCCCTTGTGCATCCTCTGTGCATAAACTGTCCCTGGAGCTTGGGCTGCTCGTGGCATCTTGCAAACCATGTGGAACACGAGTTCCCTCAGGCTGGTGAGTTCATGCAGGGCGTTGTGGGAGCTGCGGGCTTGGCCCCTCACAGCAACAGCAGAGTAACACACAGGGCACCAGGAGCAGCCTAGAGCAGCCACCAGGCCCCTGTTTTCAACAGCTTCTCAATGGGATCATGCTGAGAAAAAGGCAAGTCACGTTTATCACTGAGTCAGGTGAATTAAACATTCACATATATTTGCTGAAAAAATTATATACATCTGTAGCAAGGCTCTCCCAAGTCTGAAAGATAAGCATCATCTAGTCACTAAATTAAAAAAATAAAAATCTGACTTTTAAATATTTTTCTTTTTATCCATGTTCAAGAGCACAGACAGTTTATTTTGTTAGCACATTTCGTGAAGGATGTATGTGTGTGAATAGCCATGAAAACCAGTGAAAATTTGGTGTTTGTTTGGGATATGATGGAAAAGAAGAAGCAGCCATTTAACGCCTTACAGTCTAAATAATCCACAGAGTATATCGGGTTGCAAAAAGGTCACAAAGTAGCAAAGAGAAGCCTAAACACCCAGAGACGTAGCATACATGTCTGCTAAGGAAGAACAAGGTATAGAGCATGCTGGCTACTTAAATAAATTTCACTTTAGACCCTGTTCCTTACGCATGTAACCCTGGAAAAATCATCCCATAACAAGAAATGGACTCGGAAGAGATTTCTGTATCCATTCACAGTAAGGCTTTGAAGATATATGAAGTTTTATAGCATTTGTATTTTAAGGATTTAGGGCAAGTACATGTTCTTCCACTGAATAAAAACAAAGTTAGTACTTAAAAGGTTCAAAAATATATCAATCGTGACTTTTTTTTTACATAAATAAATTATATTGATTTTGGATTTAACAGCTGAAAAAACCCTTTCTGCTTCCACTGGAGGCAAAAACTGAACAAAATGTTAGTTAAATAGAGATAGCAGCATTTCTAAGAAATCTGTCGATAGTGATACAGTATCTATGCTACAAGAATGTTATTAAATAGAACACAATTATTGGGGGAGAGGAGGATTGCATTATGATTGGCTAAATCCTTTAAAAAAATCATCCAATCCAGTAAACTGGGAATAAATTCTGTGAAAATAAACCAACTGGTTTTTTGACCACGGGTAACAGACTTCTTTGAGATGCTAATTTTAACATGTACATAATTTATAATCCCAAATGTATAAAAGACAATGACAAAAAGCATCATAAATAAATAATGCAAACTGAAATAGTTATGTCAAAACATTTGGACCATCCGATAAATTAGCAAAACTGCAACAGAAAAAAAAAGTAAAAAATACAGTAAATTGTGACAACCAAGTGTGAAACTGATGAGTAGCACACTCCAACTCCCTCCCCGCCTGCCCTTCACTTACTGCTGCACCACTGTGGCTTTATTCAATTCTCAGACCATGAGCTGCAAGTAAGAACAACCCCAAGAGAAAGAAGAATTAAAGGAGTGAGGGGAAGGAGAAATCAGAAGAGTTGCCTGTGGAGGAGTCTCAGTACTCAGAGCTGGAGCAGGGCGCTGGCAGCATTAAAACCTGTCCATTTGAAATGCAGATGCTGAAATCATTTGGAGGACTGGAAATACTGTTCAACAGCAAACGGAATGGGAAGAAGCCAAAGTCATCTCTTCACAGTCCACCACTACAAAGTAAGAAACTCAGGCTCTGAAAGTCTCAAGGGTCCTTCTCAGAGGACTCCCCATGGAGGGAAGCTGGCCTACAGCCTTCTCTGTGTTTGTTGAAAGAACGCCACTTCTGGGGTAAGGAGTGGGAAATATAAAAACTCAGAAAGCCTAAGTGTTCATATAAGAGCATTGAAATCGGTGTGGTCTGTTCATGGCTGGAAAAAAACCAAAACCTTTAGAGCACCTGTAATGCCATAGCTGAGAACTAACGCCAGAGAGGAGAACTGAAGACAAGCAGAATGATGAAGGAACTGGCTGCTACAGATACAGTAACCCCAGAAAAGTCATGCAAGTGTG